GAGAGAGAGAGAGAGAGAGAGAGAGAGAGAGAGAGAGAGAGGGTGCTTGTCCCAGTTAGTGAATTGGCTCTGGACTTTTATTCTTTCCAGTTACCCCAGACTACAGGGTACAAGACTAGGAGGCCATGACAGGATTCACTTGGGGAACAAAGAGTTGCGCCCTGGGTTTTTCAGGGGTGAGCAAGTGCCAGTCAATAGCTCTGTTTCTTGTTAAATATGACTAAGGTATGACCATGAAGACCCCCTGATCCCATGTTCAGATCACAAGAATTCCTCTCCTTGCCCTGTGTATTTATGTGTCTACCTCACTTGCTTGAATGTAGTGTTCCAATCTCCTTACCTAGTGCTTAGGACTTAGTTGGTCCTTAATAAATGTGTTATGTGTTAAATCTCATGGCTGTGAGAGTTGGTCAAGGCCGTTTCAGAATCTGAATTCCAGCTCCATTGCTCACTACCTGGGAATGCTTGGACCCTTCCTAACCTTTAAGTCCCCTTGTAGAGGATGGTGGCCCGGAGTTGGAGGCTGCCGAGAGCATCAGCAGTATTTATCAGTCACTACCTCATTGAATCTATAGTATAGTCACATGATGTGAGGGCTGTAGCTGGCTCCGTTTTAATGTGAGAGAGCACAAGTCAGGTTAATACTTTTCCAAGGTCACAGAATGGTGGGACTGAGATTTGAACTTAAGCACTTGGGCTTCTAACCACCATGTTATTCTCTTGCTTTTCTTTTAACTTTTTGTTGTGTGCGTGTGATGCAGGGGAAGCCAGAAGACAGTCTAGTGTAACTACACTACACTTTTCTCCTTTGTTAAATGGGTTTCAGGGATCAGACTCGGGTCTTCAGGCTTGCATTGCAGACCTTACCACTGAGCCATGTTGTGACTGAAACTAGTTAACTGAAATGCAAGCCCTAACTACAACAAACAGCAGCGGGACGAAGGGGTTTGCTCTCAGCTTCTGGAGGACCCCAGGACCCCATTGTAAAGGGACATCCAATATTATGTTAAAAGCATCTAGTGCCCTGTGTACAGAATGGTTCTTTTCAGCTGCTCTGGATAGACTCTCTGAATCAGTCTCAGAAGATTTTCCAACAAAAGAGCTGAGATCCATGACAGATGGTGAGCTATCCCATGTTCCAAAAACGTATCCCTTACTCTCAGTAGGCAGATTTTTGCAGGTTCGTATAAGTAGTTTGCAGGGATGTAAGGTGAGCCTGGCAAATCCATTACATATTCATAATACATCTCCTATAACATAGTACAAGAAACTTAAATACCATGAGCATTACCCATATGTAAGAATTACAGAGCAAGATATAGCACACACCTGTAATTCCAGCACCTGGGAGACTGAAGTAGAATCATGAGTTTGAGTCCAACCTGGGCTACATAAGAAGTTATAGGCTAGGGCTGGAGAGATGGCTCAGGGGCTAAGAGCACTGACTGCTTTTCCAGAGGTCCTAAGTTCAATTCTCAGCAACCACATGGTGGCTCACAACCATCTGTAATGGGATCCAATGCCCTCTTCTGGTGTGTGTGAAGCTACAGTGTATTCATATAACTAAAATAAATAAATATTTAGAAAAGAAGGAAGGAAGGAAAAAAGGAAAGAGGAAAGAAGGAAAGTGACCCAGCTGCTTTGTGGCTCTCCTGTAAGTTCCAGCATCTTAAACTTTGCTTGGAACATAAAAACCAAATGGTTGGCTTTGAGTCACTTTCAAAAAAAAAAAAAAAAAAGTTATAGGCTAGTTGGTACTACATAGAAAGACTGTCTTAAAAAAATAAAAACTATTATGGTTTTATTGGGTATTTGAATGGAGTACATCTAAGTTTGTTCTCTAAATCTTGAATGCTAAAATTAAAGGCAGGCATGAAATTTCATAATGGATCTACACAGTATGGCAGGCATTGACTCTCTCCGAGAGGTGGTGTGATCATTACTGTTGGGCGTATGGGTATTAAATATTTCTAATATTTTGAAGTTTTCATTGGAGATACCCTGTTTGCCTTTAACCCTCCTGTGTAACCTTGACAGAGATGGGCAGGGCACTGGGCTTCAGGGGACTGCTGTGTCCCTGTGGTCTCCATACTCAGTAACGGAGAAATGCCCAGAGGAAAAAGATTAGGACAGAATGAACCAGACTACATTTTAATAGGAAAAGCATCCTTTAAGACCTAGTCATCATTTCGTAGATGAGGAAGCAATCTGTGTTCGCTTTTATCGTTGTCTTAATGTATCTGGAGGACAGCCGACAGGAAGCTGTGGGGACTAGCACAGAGCCCAGGCAGGAGGGTTAGGTGTGGGGGTCAGGGAAAAACAGTGCAGATTTCAGAGTCCATTTTAAGCCATCATCCTGTCTAAAAGAAGTGGCTACAAGAAAAACATCTCCTTTGCCTGGAGCAGGGTGGAGGGGAGGGAATGACATTGTTTAGCAGATGTGGCTGGTTGCAGTGTCTTCTGGGTAATGTCAGTAGGGACAGTCCTGAGTGGAGAACACTAATTTACCTTGGTTTGTAATCGTGTAGAATCTATTTCCTGCAACTTTCATTTTGTGAAAATTTGTCCCCTTGCATTCATTTTGATATGCTATTCTTAATTTTTTTTAAAGTAATAGAGAATATGGATAAAAGTAGAGACTCTGGTCCCAAGTTAGGAGGGTATCAGAACTTCCTGGCAGAGGTGAAGTCTGAGTTTTTGAGGATCATAGGAGGTAAACAGGGATACAGTTGCTAAGGGAATGGTGACGAAGGCCTGTGAGTATTGGGGAAGTGAAAGAGTATGCAAAACCCCCGGAGATGTGAAGAGAGAGGGGAGAACGGCTCTGGTGTGACACTCTGGTGTGGCCGGTGTGTGAGCTGGGAGTGGCAGGAGAACAGTTTCAGGGAAAGGAGGGAGTGATACTAAAAGCAGAGAAACCAGTTTACAAGCTCAAGCAAGCAATTGTGGGTGCCTGGTTAAGAGTGAATGCCAAAGGCCAGGAGTGGTGGTGCACACCTTTGCCCAGCACTCGGGAGACAGGTAGATCTCTGAGGTCAAGGCTAGCCTGGTCTACATAGCAAGTTCCAGGACAGCTAGGGCCCTGTAAAGAAACCCTGTCTCAAAAAAAAAAAAAAAAATTAGAAAAAACAAAAGGGGATTGATGGGTAGGAAGGAGAGGGAAAGACAGACAGAATTTCAGGAGTGGCCAGATGGATAGGAATGGAGGAAGAAGAGCAGTTGATGTGACTCCTGGGATTTCCGGTTGGGAACTGGGTATGGAGTAGAGAACTACAGGCCAGCCTGCAGATGTGTGCGAGAGACCCAAGTCTGGATCCATGAGTTGGATACATAGCTGGCATTGATGATTGTGTTTGTGGTCATTTCCAGGCTAATGTGTAGACCAGGGAGAAGCCTGAGGGTAGAGAAGACCAGTGTTTAGTGGAAAAGGCTCAAAAACATGGAGGAGAAGGCAAGTTAAAGCCCCTGGGAAGCTATGAGCGTCAGTACCAAGTTAGTCAGTGGGCGATGCTGGAGCCTCCCTGACTGATATGTGTTCATATTCACAGTTGAAACCTATGTTTCTTGATAGCAGGACTGTCTCTTATAGTTCTGAAGCATCCTAGGCTGGCAGGTACCCTACATAATTTTGGGTTAACTGGTCGACTTTATTCCACCTCTGTATTTCAT